AGTATGGTATTGGAGTGTTTTGTCTAACTGAGGCAGGAGAACAACAAATTGGTTAGGTCCCTAAAAAGGACCGCGCAATTTTGGATGCTATTGGAAAGGCATGCGACTTGCCAAACTTTCATGCCAAAATTGATAGTGCAAGTGGCAAAAATATGGGAGACAAGTTTACCAAGATAACAATTTTTATAATTTGTGAGGCTTTGTGAAGTAATTGAAATAGGACTGAAACAGTAGAAATAAGACACACATCTTCAAAGAGGTTATTTGTATGATCAATATATTTTAGGCATGAATAAACACGTCTTCAAATAAGCTTTAAGTCTGTTACTTGTGAATGAGCTAAAGCTGTGGAGGAATATCAAGCTGTTTTAACAGTCTTCGCTACGTTTCTAAACATTTTGAGACAATTCAGTTCGAAAGCAACTTGTGGGATCTCTGCAACGAGCATCTCACTCGCTAAACTACCGCAAAAGCTACGGTTAGAGTGATGATATTAGTTGACTAAATTTCTATGTTTCTTGAATATTGTACATGCTCTTGGCGAGGGCGAGCAGTGTTCTTCGCTTATCGTCTTAAACTTTTATCAATATTTCAAACAACGTCTTCTCCGATTCGGGATCATGAATATGGTGATTTGATCTCGTCCCCTAAAACTGGCGGTAAAATATAGTTGTTCCTTTGCGCGCTTTGACGATTTCTCACCAAATACTGAAACGAATGTATGTTGTAAATTGATATTGCGTATGCATCGATTTTCTCACAGCACTTGGATTCACTATCATATAATTCATTAATATTTGTGTTTCACAATTATCTCGTTGCAGTACTAATATCACGATGACATCGCGTTTCTGGAAAGCAGGGGGGAGTTAATGGCTTGTGAGGCAGATTTTCGGAGAAAATTGGGAGAATATATGCACGACCCCTTCAAGCTTGTGTTTATGCCAATATCCCCCAGAGGTTTCGCACTGTTCAGGCGACAGGACATCGGTCAGCTCAGGAAAGGGCTTGAACTTTATTACAAATGATGTATTTCTGCTTGTAAAATACGATGGAACTGAGTACAATTGGTAGGATTTTCAAACGACAAGAAAGGCACAAATGTAGTCATGTGGAAAGACAAGGAGTGGGAGTACATCTCAAGCGCGTGAAGCAAACAACAATAAGAAGCCTACCATTCTTCGCTTGCGAAGTGTAAGAAAAGAAAAACTAAAGATCTGAAAGATTGTTTCTGTTATTTCTCTGGCATAGGATAAGACAATCTCTTTCAGTACAAACTCGTCAGGTGTCTCGCATTTGTACAGTTCACAGAGAGAAAGCCTAACATACATGGTAACAACAGAAGTCACTGGAAATACAAGACGACCATCATAGAGCAATTTGAGTTTGATTTGTACCGTACCCAGTGTCGACCTGCAGTCCACATTTTTCAAGAATAAGTTTTAAGAAAACCACAAAGTTGACTATGGGATATTCTATGATTAATTTAGTTCCCCAGTTGTACATTACTTACTTGGGACAGCCATCAAAACAAGGACAGTGAGTGTTAACAGGGAACGATTTATTTTATGTGGCTCCTTTCTTAAGTCAGAATTGAACTTGATACGTTATCTCTGGATATCAAAGTTTCGCAAATATACTACCACGCCAAATTTATGCAAAGTTATGCATGGTCTGTTATCCACGAGGAAAATGACTCAGCTATATGGGTATCCACCATTATTTTTCCAAACGAGGCTTGCTCCCAATATATTCATATCAGAAAGATAGGATTTGGCGGGAAAAATTGAGCTGAAAGCAAAGAACTTTTTTCTGTCAGCCGCGCACAAAAATGTCTTTTCAAGAGGTATATATTGCACACGGTCCACGAGCTAAACATAGAAAACCGTAGTTCACAGACATCAATTCAAACAGGTGAACTCGTCCGCAAAACTCCGGATAAAGGTAGTGCTCTGGTGTTACGTGATTTTCAACATTTCAAAGCTTGATTCCTACTTTTGCTGATATGGCTGCTCACAGGTCCCCTCGTAGGTTCGATCAAAGTTTCGCTCAAAGTTTTGCTCATAGTTTCGCTCGTAAGATTCACTCGTACAAGGCTCACTATAGATATAAACCCCCTGTGAGCTTGGAAGATCGACAAGCAAACTACTCGAGGAGTCAAAGTCCTTCAAAGATCTTTGAATCGGTCACACATGTACTGACTGCGACGAGTGCTAATCGAAACTCCCTCAAAAAAAGTCAAATTATGTTTCAACGTCGCGGCATTACTTTCAAAAAGTCGATCGAGGCGTTCTGGTATTACTTTGGAAAATCGATATCAGCTCTTCTACCGCTGACATATAGATTTGTTAACATCTAAAGGAGTAAAAATTTACATATTCTGACCCCTAAGATAAGTCGTTCCACGCCTCGCGTGTTCACGACTATATGAGACTTTCTGCCGTCTTGGATGTGTGCAAACCATTGAATACTTTTGGCATATTGAACAAAATTAACTTCAGCTTTACAAAGAATAAAACGTCGAGGAAATGATAAATCCGTTTCAACGAATTAGACTTCTTGGATTCGGCTGAAAGGCTAGTCGACTCTAATAAATTCCGAAGATGTCCTTCCAGTCGAGCGGCCTTGACACAGATGGTCACCCCATAGGATATGAGACCAAAGGCCCGTTTCTCGAACGGTCCCGGAAACTTAACAGGCCCGAAGCCATGTTTTAAAATCAAAATTTAAGGATAGAAAAGCAGATTCTGGCACCCAAACCAGTCCTATATGTTTCTTTGGCTGATAGTTTTATTGCATCATTTTCAAAACTTTTGAAATCCCCATCTTGAATGAAAGCCGTGACAAAACAGTTATCGGGACTTTCGAGAAACGGGCCCCTGCCGAGCACAGATTTTTAGCAGTTTGTCAAACACATTTACATCGCAAACTGCTTTCGTCAGAAAATCGCGACTAACAAAAAACTTACAGGTCATCAATTCACAGAGATGACCGTGTGACATCTATATACCCCAATTTCCGCCTTAAATTGCTGTCCATGGCAAAATCATAGCCATGTTATTATGTCATATCTAATTAACATGTGGCTAAGGAAGAAACGCACAAGGAATTACTAAAAATTGAAGGCCGCCGTCGTAAGTGCCTGCGTAACTCAGGGACTGATTTAGGAGGAAATACAAACGACGTGAAGTCATCTTATGAGAAGCAAACTGGGAATCAAAGTATCATTGCTGTCTAGGATCATTTTAAAATGTTTATTCAAACTAACAGGCTTACAAATGTAAAGTCACTTATATCTACAAATCTACTTTTTTGTGTGCGAGTAATAATGACTTTCCATCCTGCCCAATAAAACTACTATTAATCAGTGCAGGGAACACGTCAGCATCTTTACTTGGTCTGCGTCTACTTCATTAGTGCCAGGCCCAGAACAGAGGAGACGGTCAATAGGAAGAAGCTAAAGGTCACAGGTGAGCCTGCGTTACAGGCATCGCTAGTACAGCAACCAACCCCGCACTCGTAGTCCTTGATATTATCTTTAAGCTTGTCACAAAGCTCTTTTGCATAGTTACAGGTGGATTCGTTGGCGCAGTCGTTCCCCACAGCGTTCACGTCATCTTTCTTAGACCAGCTCCTAGCGCACCTGTCAAAAACCGAAGAACATTCCTTCAAATAGACGGCTCGGTTACTTTCCAGTTTGCTCTTGCTGCAAGTATCTTCAGTGCCAGCACACACATAGCATTTCAAGGCACAACCTGATGACACAGAGAGTAAGATGACAATCTTAAATGAGTTCAGATATTAACTACTAAAGCCTTCGAGACAGGAAGGAACGTCAAAACAGACAATTCTTAAAATCCTCTAGCGTTCACAAGTGCTGCAATCTGATTGGCCATTAGTATTGGTCACCTACTCCGTGATAGATAGACTGCGAGCAGTCCCTCCTTTTCGGCAAATTCCGTCGCGAGAGTAAAAAAAAAGTCAGTGAAAAATAAAAATGATGTTAGCGCGCTCCGGTGAACTCTTGAGGTAACGGCGGTGTGACGTGGGAACTCCGTGAGAGAGGCGCTCGTAAAGTAAAGATTAGGGATTAAACCCAAGAGTTGAATTATGTGCAGCACTCACAACGCAGAAATATGATTGGCTATCGGTTGAAAGTCTTGTCAACGCTTCAAATGGCCGATAACCTTCAGGTTTCCGACAATTCGTCCTGAGCAGACTGGTACTGAGGCGCTAGAAGCTCTTATCGCTGGCAAAGAAGTTCTCGCAATTTTGGTAACCGATTTCGGAAAGAGTGTTTTATACCGGATGTTTTTGTTCTGAAAAAATCTTTAAAGCGTGTGTCCTCGTAATTTCATCGCTTTACTGCTTCGTGGTGGAAGAAGTCGGCAAACCCAACGAACTTGGCTTTCGAGCGGTCCAGTCATCAGAAAAGTTCGAAGACTGTATTATCTCTGAAGACAAATTAGAAGCACACACATAGCAAGTCGTTCCACGATGGTTCCTTGACCGGCCTGCCATTCCTAAATATCTTCCTAGCAATTTTGTTCGTAAGAGTCATCCTTATTAATACATTTTACAGATTTTCAGTCAATTGTGCGCCTTGAAATTTGAAAAGGTTTAATTTTCTGAGGTGATCCTTTTGTGATAACATGAAGATTGACTGGTAATTGAGATAACTTATTTCGTTGGTTACGCCTGATTGAGATGAAGATTTGACGCCGGAAAACCACTCAGTCGTGCAAGGTCAAAGTCCCGGGCCTAGTCCATAGTCCCTACTTTTCGAGCACCTCACTCAAGGAGACCCTGCGCGCATCAGCGTTACTCCAAGAATTCCCCCTTGGCGCGCTAACATACACTTTTTTCACTGTTTTTTTTTTTACTGGGGCGACGGACTTCGCCGAAAGAGAGGGACTGCTCGTAGTCTTTATGATAGATAGTGAATAACAAGAGCTACACGTGGCGTGGATCATCATTCAACAAAAAACGTGAGGGTATCAGGCTAGAACGTCTTCAAGGTGTAGCTTATACGCACTCGGTTTCTATGCGTAATTTTGGCCCCGTGGACTCCAAGCTCGTTGAATATCCCGAGAGAGAAATATCAAGCTCATTATCTCATTATTTAAGAGGCAGAGGAAGGGAAGTGTTTCGAAAATGTCAAGGGAGGGGGGAGGGTGAGATGGGGAAAACCAGCAAGCCAAGAACATAACCCCGACAAAGATTTGAAATGTCCTCTGCCTAGTTTGTTGTCATAAACAAACCTCTTTGCCATCTTGTATGTTCAGAATGTACATAATCGATTTAAGAAAATGCTAGCAAAGTCCGGTATGTTGAGAATGTAGAATTTTAGTAGTATGTGTGCATATGGGACTACTCCATAAATATTGTTGTTGTTGGTAACTTATACCACCCGCACTTTTTTCTTGTTCAAGGCGGAGAATAAAATCGTGACAAAAAAACAAAACAAAACAAATGCCAAAAAAGAAAGGTACCACAATAGCTCCACTGGATTGCGATAACTTGGATTAAACAACAAAAAAAGAAAACAAAACAAAAGAAAAAAAAAAAGGAAAGGCAAGTCATTCAGTTGATCCGTTGACCCATCATCACCAGAAAAGAACATGATGCAGTACTCAGTCGCTTGATCCTTTCATGACTCAATAGCCAAACTAAACACGTAACACTTAATATATCATGCAATCTTGTGAGCCCAGTTAAAAAACAGCCATAAACAAGGATTGCTTCAGCAAACCGCAAATGTTTTCTTTCACTCTTCCATGAAAACAAGTTCAATAAACATTTATAGCATTTGCTTTCTTTGTCTGAATGACGAGTGATAAATTAGATTACCGATAATGATTTCGGACGGCCCCTTCCTCCACTCAGTTGAAATGCCGATCAAGCGCTCCTCGTAATAGAAAAAAAAAAAAAAAGGAAAAGAGAAAGAGACGAAGAAACAAAAGATAGATCCTTGTGGTATTAGGAACACTTTTCAGACATCTGTTTAGACCGCAATCGAATTTGTCAAGATCCACATCTGCTCACTGTCTGAGTTTCTATTAATGAGACATTGAGGAGCTCAAAAATATCAAACATAGCAGCAGAGCAAAAATGTGCAAAAACACCGCATCATAGCACCTTTGATCAACGACATTTGCTACCAAGTTATGTTAAATTTAGTTATAACAAGGAGAACAAAATTCAGTCCACGGTTGGCTAGCAA